GTGTGTGTGTGTGTGTGTGTGTGTGTGTGTGTGTGTGTGTGTGTGTGTGTGTGTGTGTGTGTGTGTGTGTGTGTGTGTGTGTGAATATTACATGCGTAACTTGTATCTATGTCGTATGCGCATCTTGCGTGTACCCGGTGTGCGTATCTTGTATGCATCTTATATACGTATGACCAGGGTACACACATAGGGTAAACTTATAATACCGTATTCTTATTTTGGTTGTTCTGTGCATTGGCTTGACACGCGCTCGGGCGAGCGGGGTCAGTTTGACCCCCAGCCGAAGTTTTTTCCAGAATGGATTCCAAACGGCACGGCGTAGCCGCGCCAAATGCTGCATAGCTGTAGACAATGGAATTCAAAATAGTTTGGCATGAACACTTTTGATGTACCTTGTAAGGTCCCTGACCTATGGCAGGTCAAAATCAGGCCCTGGTTTCAGCGAAGGCAATTTCTAGGGAACCCTGCAAGCTGATCCAACAACGGAGTGCTAGACGAGGCCATACATCTCTGAGATGCTTTCTTAGGCAATACAACAATTAAATGAGTAAATAACATTGAGCCAAGGTCAGGTATGAATGTCAGACCAAGGTGGAAACCAACCTGTTTTGTTACTCTAGGGCTTGCTGTTTGTGATAGCTTCTGGTGCTCTTTTCGAATTTGTTGATAGCGGGAACCGCATTATGCACCTTCCATCAACTTCTTAGAGGTCACAATAGGTCATTGACCTGAAATGACCCTGGTCAACATTTTGTTTTTAAGAACATACTATCTAGCGTAATCTTTGTCGCTTATTCAAATGCAAAACTCAGGGCAATCTTGTATGATTTTGGCCACCGTGACCTTCAAAAAATCAAACAAGGTCACTTATCTTATATGAGCACGTGAACTTTTGCTTAGGAACGACTATCTAGGTTCTGGGGGCAGTTCGGAGACCAGCCTGGAGTTTGACCTTGTTTGACTCTATTCGACCCGAAGGTCATGACCTAGGTACCTGAAACCTTGAACTAAGTGGCTTCACGTGGAGGTTAACACACCCTGTAAATTTGGTGTCTCTAGCTTTCTTAGTTCGCGAGATCTCAGGGGGGTCAAATTGACCCCCACCCGAGGGAAGGGTATCCAACCGGCCACCCGGGCGCGTGTTAACTAACCCATTGCTACGTTTATTGCTATCGTTAATTCTTCCTTCGTCTACTCTTCGTGTGTGAATATTTTACGCAAAGGCTCTGACTTCTATCCACCCCGCTAACGATTCTTCTCAGTCGCTCAGACATTCAACCAGGCTGTAAGTTCCCCGAGGAAAGTAAGACTCACACATGGGGGGGGGGGGGGGGTAGATACGTGGAACACTAAACGCGCGTGCCTCTTCTCATCTGCAAGTGAGGGTGCCCCTTTAGAGGCCACCTCATGGCGCCGAAGACGCTCTTCTATACCAGCCATGGTAGGTAACACATACTTTTGCTTGTGAGGGACGAGGATATCCTTTTATATATATATATATATATATATATATATATATATATATATATATTCATATTCATATTTATATATAGGAATAATCATGACGAGTCTAGGCTAATCCACATACTCCAGAACTTTTCACTTTAACCTCACAAACTTTTGCGATGTTTATGACCCAAGATGTGTATTGCACATTCAGCGCAATAAGACTTATGCAGTAAACCTTACGCACCGTGTCAAGTTTATTGCATCGTTCATGGGATAAGCTATTACGGTTTTTAGCTGGTGGCGAGAGCAGCCACGACTATTTATTGCGCGCGGAGCGAGGGTTATGGTGCTGATAGCTGCACAGCTATATGCGAGAAGCATACAATTCTACGGGGAGATAAACATTCGCCTACATTAACGGACGCAGCTACCGGGTTTGTGGCTCAAGATATCCGACCAAATCACACAACTCACTCCAGTTTTCTTTTTTTCTTGAGCTACATTACAACGCCCCTACAAAACAGAACTACTTAATTAAAGTTAAAATTTTCTGCGATAAGCGAGCGGTGCGCGGAAACTTTGGTGTCAATTCGACGCGTACCACATTTTTCACACAGGGGGCCCATACCACGTTTTTGACTCATCGTTTAAGCATGACATCAACGAATTGCATTGGCCAGTATTTGTGTGGGATTCAGGCTTCAACAAGATGTTTTAAACAGATGCATGCAAAGACGCTGTAAAAACAACGACAATGTTAAGTTTACTGTAGCTTTGGTGTAGACCAATGGCGCAGGCACGGGGAGGCGCAGGGGGCACTGCCCCCCCCCCCTTCCCTTAGGTTCCGATTAAGGCCTTATTTGGGGGTCTGAAGGGCCCGAAAGGCCATCCGGATACCCCATTTAAGGGTCCCGGCCCGCAAAACCAAGCATTCCAACCCCAGCCAGAGGGGCCTGAGTGCTAATCAGGGACCCACTTGGTCGATAAGGGCTTATATTTCGGTCACACACTACCAGTGACGCGCAGTCGGTTCCGTTACCCCATGGGCCTAAGGGTCCATTTCCCAAGCAGGGACAAAGCCGAAGCCAGCCGAAGCCGAAGCCACATTGCTCGGGGCCCCACAAAGCCAAACAGGAGCGCTATGCCGTCAAGGGGCCCCGATTAGGCCAGCGGCAGTGAGAACCTCGAAGAGCGTGAAGGGTCCACCCGGTCCGACGATCAATGGCCCGAAATAAGGGTTTATGGGCATGAGGGGCTAGTCAAAGTTTTGTTCAGGGGTCCGACCTGCGAAGATGGACCCTCAAATAGCGGTCAGAGGGTCCTCTGCGCCGATGTGCGACCCCCTGGGCCGACATGAGCCTACATGTAGGTCAGTTACCATCGTACCAAATAGTCAGCCCCGTGTCAGTATGGGTGTTGGGGCCTACAACACCACCAGCTAAAAAGCCGGACCAGTGATTTACACTTGTCTGGGACCTTCTGTCAGGGGCCCACAGCGCCTAACAGAGAGCTCTGCACTCGCAAGGGCCCCGACCCGACCAAGGGAAGTGTTCGATTAAGCCAGAAGAGGGGCCCGGGCGGCCCACTGGAACAGACAATCAAGGGCCCAGTTGGAGGGCATAAGGCCCCGAATGATTGCTGAAGGTCATGAAAATAATTACGGTCCGTAAGGTCGTGACGTGAAATATCAGTCAGAGGTCCTCTTGCGCAGTTCAAACAACCCCTGAGACGATGCGGGTGACTGAGTCGGTCAGAGACCACGAACACCGAACAGTCGGCTCTATGTCCGCCGGAGCCCGTTAGACCTATTTCCCACGTAGAAACGAGGCCGGTGTCCGTGATTTTCAATGATCAGGGTCCCTGACACAATGAGGGGCTCCTGCGTCGGTTAGAGGCCACAGTGCTGAGCAGGGGTCTTGTGGCGGTAAGTGACCCCGAGTTGGTGCGGTTTCTGAGGGAGCCCGAGGAGGGGCCGAAAGGTCTCTCGAAACCAAAGATCAAGGGCCCGATGAGATGGCTGAAGCGTCCGAAGGGCTGACCGCAGGTCACATTTAGCACCTCCGCTCAAAAGGACCGTAATCCTCAACATCAGGAAGGTGATCTTTTTCACCTATAGGGAAACCTGAGACAGAACATACCTCTATTCTGCCCAGAGATCACGGACAACGAACAGTCGGTCCAAAAAGACCAAGTGAAGTGTTCAAAAGGTTGAAGCCCGCGCCGGGTGCCGCAAGTGTGATGGTTGACGCGCCCGCGTTAACCACTGCACGCATGAGAAACCATAGGTACGGGGCTCGATTGCCCGCGGTGCCGGGGTGCCACCCTTCCCGCCAGAGTGAGAGGCTGGTGACGTCATATAGCCCCAGCAGCTGAGTGCGTCATGAAGCCCCAATGACATGCTCGCAATCTCGGGTAGCAGGGAGACCAATGGCTTGCGTCGCAGTTTTCGTAAAACCGAACGGCGTTGGCTACTGGCAGTAACGCCAGGGGGCGGGCGCAGGGCCTGCAAGAATGGCCATCGTAACAAAACGTGCATGTTGTTTAAAACTAGTACGTTCAGTTCAAAGATTGCACTAGGCGAGTATTTTTACCACTTAGAGGTTATCATCTGGACAGATTAACAGCTACAGCGACACGGAAAATAGAGGTTTTACTCTCACTCTTCCAGTTCCACCACCAGATTCCAGCACCACTTTGCGATGCTGTTAATACCGATATATTACTGTCCTCAATCTCAAAACGTTGCAGTTGAAGTATACGACCGGAATATCTCTAAATGTGCAGACAGACGGATCTCGCGGTAGCGAACAAATAGCTTTTGCAGAATTGATCTCGCGTCTGACCTATACTTCAGTTACATGTCAGGTCATCGACTCAGCACGCGACCTAACTGAACCAAAGCTGGACACAGTACACCACGACTCATACGTACTACAAACGGGGCTTTTCAAACCAGCCCCCATTGGTGGTCTTCTGATCGAGACGAACGAGCACATTTGGCTCTGCGGTGTGACGTGCTTAGTTCGGGACATGCCCTGAAGACTGCTTGGTCTCGAAAACATTTGGCGTACCGCGGGCAGTGGGCCAAATGATGTCGCCATCCTCGGAGGACGCGTGTGCCCACCCTGGGAGCTCGTGACGCCTGTCTGTAACCTTGATTGTCACTCAAATACTCAGGTGTTCTCAATGACATTGATCATGTTATAACATGTTGGAGAATCCTTTGCAAGTTTATTTTCGCTTTCATGACATAAATATTACAACTTGATGCTTAAAACGCGGTATAACATGAAGGCTTCAGTAATATCCTCCACCTGAGCCTCCAGAAGAGCCACCTCCGTACCCACCGCTGCCTCCAGAGGAGCCGCCTCCGTACCCACCGTTTCCTCCAGAGGAGCCACCTCCGTATCCACCGTTTCCTCCAGAGGAGCCACCTCCGTATCCGCCACCGCCTCCAGCAGAGCCACCTCCGTATCCTCTGCCTCCTCCAGAGGAGCCACCTCCGTATCCACCGCTGCCTCCAGAGGAGCCACCTCCGTATCCGCCACCGCCTCCAGCGGAGCCACCTCCGTATACGCTGCCTCCTCCAGAGGAGCCGCCTCCGTATCCACCGCTCCCTCCAGAGGAGCCACCTCCGTACCCACCACTTCCTCCAGAAGAGCCGCCTCCGTATCCGCCACCTCCGCCACCGCCTCCAGCGGAGCCACCTCCGTATCCGCTGCCTCCTCCAGAGGAGCCGCCTCCATACCCACCGTTTGCACTAGAGGAGCCGCCTCCGTATCCACCGCTTCCTCCAGAAGAGCCGCCTCCGTATCCACCGTTTCCTCCAGAGGAGCCACCTCCGTACCCACCGCCTCCACCGCCGCCTCCAGAGGAGCCGCCTCCGTAACCACCTCCGCCGCCGCCTCCTCCGTACCCGCCGCTGTTGCCAGCGCTCTGCAGCGTCACCTTGCGGCCGTACTCGTCCTTGACATATCCGATGACGATGCCTGAGCCGCCGCCGTAGCCTCCGGGGGCGGCCATCACGGCCGTGGCCGCCACGCACACGAGCAGCGCCACTCTCTGAAGAGAGAAGGCAGGCACGGTGACAGACACGACCGCAGTATGGGGAGGAGGTGTACCACAGGTGGTGACAGGCTCAGCGGAAAGGTGGAGGCGGCGGCTTGGATCGGTGACGTCACAAACCCTGTTGCCAGCTGGCGCAGGCTGTTGTGTGGAATCGTTCACTTTGCATTTGGATCGGCCATGACCTCAACCGTAGGCAAGGGCAGACTTACAACAACGGGTGCAGCGGTTGGAGAGTTAAACACCGTCAAGTTGTAGGGTATGGTAACGAGTGGTGCATAAAAATAACTGAAAGATATTTGCTGGAGTGAGAAGGGTGAACATAGAACAATTAAATCCCTTTTTTTGTGCATTGTCTATGACATGCTCATGGTTGACGTAGGCGGTGCATTTTTTGTTTCCTTTTTATCATTTTTTTTGTTGCAAATTTGTAGCCACCGTACACCTTCGGTTGAGACGGCACAAGCCAACGGCAAGATAGTATGTAACCTCTAAAGTAGATATAAATCTTCTCCATGACAAAAACGCCGTTAGTCCATTGACTCTGAGAGTAACTCACCATTTGTTTCATGTCTGTCGGTGAAGTGACGACTGCGCAGTGTCTCGGCGCCGGTTTTGCTATTTATACCGGACGCCGTCACCATTACGCGACGACCGCGGCCCTGAGTTTATGCGACTCTGGCACTGCAAAACTCGGCCAACTGTAGCTTGTGAAGGGTCAATGGTGCGCGGCGTAATGGAAGACAAAGGTGACGATCCCGGGGCCCAGTGGTGCATTCGGTGGAAGCTCCCCTGGAGGTGGTTATGAATACGGAGGAGGCTCCTTTGGATACATCGGTGGATACTTTGGGGCTCATCTGGTAATGATGATGGATGTGGAAAACGATCTTCTGGAGATTGTTGTAACGTCCAGCATATGCATGATAATAGTAAGGAGACAAGGTAACCTGAGATTTATAGCATGCAATTATACGCCTTCGAAAAAGGAAAAAATATAGCCATCATTTGCCAAACTCCAGTCACCTTCCAAGAGTCCCGAGGGCGCCTGCCGCACAGACCCTGATCCAGAACGGCACATGAGCTCCGAAGTGAATTGAACACAATCTGTCAAGAGATGACAGCCAAGCAAGCTGAAGGAGGGACTCTTCTAAAGCGCTGCCATCCTGACATACGTTGTCATCTCCCATCGTGTCAGACGAAACTCCGGTGCTCCAGTTGCCCTCCAAGCATTGACTACCGTGTCCGGGGACATACCGAACGGCAACCAAATTGATACAGCCTCTCAGGTATCTTCGATTTTTAGCGGTGAAGCGCGACATGGGATGGCGGAGAAATGAGTTAAATTTACAGTAAAGTGAAGAGAACACAGTTACAGTAAAGAGAACACGAGTTGAGTGTGGCAGAGGCAACAGACCACGGCGGCAGTTTGGTGTCATTAATTCGTAGTGCCAGTCAGATACGACCCACCGCCGTCTCATGGTGACTAACCCGTTACGTATGACATACCTCGACCATGGTTCATCTGCAGTGTGTGACACCTGGAGAGGACACAACTTCCCAGCATGCGAGCAAGATTTCTTGATGGTTGTATGGAAGCTGCCTGACAGTCGAACAGTCCGATTCCTAGTCCGTTCAACCGAAGTATTCCCATGTGGTTCCACTCCAGACTCCGAAGGACACTTAACCCGTGGGTGGCTTTTGGCGGCAGCTGATTGGACCGCAGTCTGGTGTGGACCAACAATTCGGCGTAATTCGGGTTAATTTTCGGCGTTAATTTGCAGTGTTTTTTGTAATCGCGGCACGTGCAGTGAACCGCGGTGCATACTCTGGAACTTAATGTCTCAGTAAGTCGACTTCAAATTAGGAAGATCTCTTCCACTGACAAGAACTAGGCCAAGGTGTCTTGCACGACACCCATGCATTGTCACTGGTCCGCCTCTGCCCACGGCCAGGTGCTTAAGGCGAGAAGCCGGTCGTTTCTGCCTGCAGCCACAAGGCGAAAATGACATCTACATAAACAATAATCCACAAGAACAGGGGGAATGTGATCACAGGTCGTCCCGGAGTGTGCACAGCGGGTCCACCGGAGCCGACCGATGCACCCATCGGCGCATCGCGGCGTTTAGGGGCGCCAGCGAGCCTCCGGGGACGGGGACAAGGCTACCCGACACAGCCGGATGGGACGATCGAACGACCACCCTGAAGACCGGCACGACGCGGGCCCCCTTACGCGGTCAGCCGGAGCCGGCCAGCGGGCATCCTGTCCCTGTGTTCCGCACCACCTCCCGACCGTACAGGACCGGCCATCATTCATTCATATCCCTGTCCCCCCCCCCCCCCCCCCCACCTACCGATCGCCCAATCCAGACTAACCCAGTCATGTCTGGCTAACGAAATGACCACCCCCGCAGCCGGCACCCGCCAGCAACCCACCACCGCCGCCTCAGCGCCGCCCCCCCCCCCCCCCCCCCTGCCGCCGCCACCCCAGCGCCGACACCTCCGCCACCCCAACGCCGCCACCACACCGCCATCGCCATTCAACCGGCAAGCGCGGCAGGGCACCGACTCAACACCATTGACCTGGCCGACACCGCCAGCGCCGCCTTCACCATCGCCATTGCTGCCATCCCACCGGCACGCGCGACGTAGCTGTGACATATTTTACATCAAGCTAATGTGCGTATTGAATTGTGGTAGATAATAGGGGTACTACAGAGTGGTAAAGGGCATAGGGCATCAGGCCACTTGCAAATACATATGTCTTGCATGCATATCTTCTAGGTGTGTTGTACACGCATCTTCTATGTGTATCATGTATATATACACACACACATATATATATATATATATTATATATATATACATATATGCATATTCTATAAGTAACTTGTATCTACGCTGCATGCGTATCTCAAAATGTACGTCCTGTGTGTATCTTGCATGCATTTTACAGAGGCGTGGGGCTCTAAACAAAACACTGTTAACATCAGTGTGGCTTTTGCTCATTTCGTCAGTTCAGTCCTACTTAACTCAGTTTCAGTAGCATCATGCCCTCCCTCTGTCGAACTCGTGTAAAAGCGCGGCAGGCTCACACGGTCTCTTTCTCTCTCTCTCTCTCTCTCTCTTTCTCTCTCTCTCTCTATCTCTCTATCTCTCTCTCTCTCCTCTCTATCTCTCTCTCTCTCTCTCTCCTCTCTCCTCTCTTCTCATCTCTCTCCGGCATCTCTCTCTCTCTCTCTCTCTCTCTCTCTCTGCAGTCTCTCTTCTCTCTCTCTATCCTCTCTCTCTCTCTCTCTCTCTGTGTGTGTGTGTGTGTGTGTGTGTGTGGCACATTAACATGTGAATAACACTTGACAGCCGCGCATACCTTAGGGGGCAGACACGCAGGGGTCATAGGTCTCCGTCGGCATAGTATATGGTCACATATTTCTCGCTAAGAGTGTTGTATTCTTATTTTCGTTGCTCGGTGCGTTGGTTTAACTAATCCATTGTTGCGTTCCCTGTTGTACTTAATTCTTCCTTCATCTACCCTTTGTGTGTTAATATATTACGCAGACTCTGCCTTTTCTCAATTCCGTTAACGGTTCTGCTAAGTCGCTCAGGCGTTCAACCAGGCATTTGCAAGCTGTCCTGGGAAAGAAAGACTTACACATACAGGGGTAGATGCATGGAGCACTGAACACACGTACCCATTCTGATCTGCATGTGAAGGCGCCCCTTTAGACGCCGCCTAAGGACACCGAAGACACTCTTCTATGCCGGCCATGGGAGGCGACACGTGTTTTTGCTTGTGGGGGCCGGGGATGGAGTTAACCGTGAAGGATTTAGGTAATTCCCCATACTGCACACCTTTTCACTTTAACCTCACAAACCTTTGCGTAGTTTATGACCCAAGGTGTGTATTACACACTTGGTGCAGTAATACTTATGCAGTAAACCTTACACGTTGTGTTAAATTTATAGCATCGTTCGTCAGCTCAACTATGGCAGTTTTTAACTGTTGGTGAGAGCAGCCACGACTTTTTAGTACGTGCGGAGCGAGGGTTGATGGCTGCTGGTAGTTGCACAGCCATATGCGAGAAGCATGCGATTCTACGGGGAGGAAGACATTCGGCTGCTTTAACGCATCCAGCTACCGGGTCTTGCGGGTCAAGACATCTAGACCAATCACACAACTCATTCCAGTTTTCCCTTTTCTCTTCAATCACTGCTACAGCGCCGCTCTAACCCTGCAAAATAGTACGACTTCATGCAAGTTAAGATTGTCTGTGATAAGCGAGTGTGAACGCGAAAACTTTGGTGTCAATTCGACGCGTACCACATTTTTCACATAGAGGGTACGTACTGCAAGTTTTTACTCGACGTTTTAGCATGGCATCAACGAATTCCACTCATCAATACTTGTGTGGGATTTAGGCTGCAACAATCTGCTTTAATCAGATACATACAAAGACGCTGTAAAAACAACGACGATCTTAAGTTTGCTTTAACTGTACTGTAGACCGGTAGTGCAGGCAGGGGGGGGGGGGCACGTGGGTCACGTGGCACCCCCCCCTCCCCCCCACCCCCTCTCCCACCCTGGATTCCGATTGGGGCCCGATTTGAGGGCCCGAGGGGCCCGAAAGACCGGCCGGATGCATCATTTAAAGGTCCCTGCCCGCAAGGCCGAGCACTCCAATACCAGCTAGAGGGTCCTGTGCGCTCATCAGGGACCCACTGAGTCGATAAGGGCCTATATTTCGGTCAGGCACTACCATTGACGTACAGCGGTTCCCCAGCGGAATGGGCTTAAGGGTCCATTTCGCAAGCAGGGACAAAGCCGGAACCAGCAGTTCACACTGCTCTGGGCCCCCACAGCGCTTAACAGGGCCCTACTGTTTTCAAGCGGGCCCCGATTCGCCCCGCGGCACTGAGAAGGCCCGAAGAGCCTGGAGAGCCCACCCGGTCCGACGATCAATGTCCCGAAATATGGGTTTAAGGGCATGAAGGGCTAGTCGAAGTTTTGTTCAGGGGCCCGACCTGCGAATATGGACCCTCCAATAGCGGTCAGAGGGCCCTCTGCGCCGATCTGCGACCCCTTGGGCCGATATGTGCCTATATGTAGGTCAGTTACCATCGTATGCCAAGCCAAGGTCCCCGCACCGAATGGTAGGCCTGCAACCCTCTTTAAGCATGACCCGTTCAGCCCAACTGGAGTGTATGTGTCAATGATTTGACCACCTGCGGCGAGCGGGAATGCTGTTGCGTCAATGATGGTGCATGCATTGATCCGGGATCAACTGCGCGGATCAGAGGGCCTCCCGCGTAAGATCCCTGTAAGAGCCTCCGGATCGGCCGGCGGATGCCGCCCCGTGTCGCCAGACTGACGGCCGGAAAACACAGCGCGCTGAGGCAGAATGACTCTTCGGCCCCTGACCGGGAACAGTAATGTACCCCGTAGCACTTTACTGAAGGAGGCCCCTTTACCGGATATAAGGGGCTCATCAGTGTTGAATGAAGTGTGTCGAAATGAGTTCAAAACGCACCAGGTCATCCCATGTTTCTTCGAAAATGTACCTTTTGTAGAGAATCAACTAGTGAAGCAAATACCATCAAAAGGTTGAAGCCCGCGTCGGGTACCGCAAGTGTGATAGGATGACGCGCCTGCATTAACCACTGCACGTATGAGAAACCACAGGTACGGGGTTCGATTGCCCGCGGTGCCCACCCTTCCCGCCAGAGTGAGAGGCTGGCGGCGTCAAATAGCCCCAACAGCTGAGTGTGTCATAAAGCTCCAACGACATGCCAAGTAACGTACACACATCAAAGCAACGTTCTTTTGCCCTGCATGCAAGTCATAACTTCGAGCATACGTGCCAATTTGTCATGCCGCCATGGCTCAAGTTGATGTTGGTCGCTTACTCGCATTACAGTGCTGTATCCAGGTCCATATTCGTCACTGCCTAGAAATGTACAAATCAGTACATTTGGTGTTTGACATTTTCTTGCCAGTTCGTCTTGCTCTCACGCCGTATGTTGGCGTCCGCATGCTTCACAACATTGTTGAGGATCGCATCCATCGTTAGATCAGATCGGTTGCTATTTGCCGTCACTCAAGTACTCAGGTGTTCTCAATGACATTAGCCATATTATAACATGTTGGAGAAACTTTTGCAAGTTTATTTTCGCTCCCATGACATAAATATTACAACTTGATACTCAATACGCGGTATAACAAGAAGGCTTCAGTAATATCCTCCACCTGTGCCTCCAGAAGAGCCACCTCCATATCCACCGCTTCCTCCAGAGGAGCCGCCTCCGTACCCGCCGTTTCCTCCAGAGGAACCACCTCCGTACCCACTGCCGCCTCCAGAAGAGCCGCCCCCGTACCCGCCGGCTCCGCCGCCGCCTCCAGAGGAGCCACCTCCGTATCCACCGTTTCCTCCAGAGGAGCCACCTCCGTATCCACCATTTCCTCCAGAGGAGCCACCTCCGTATCCACCACCGCCTCCAGCGGAACCACCTCCATATCCGCTGCCTCCTCCAGCGGAGCCACCTCCGTATCCACCGCCTCCTCCAGAGGAACTGCCTCCGTACCCACTGCCGCTTCCAGAAGAGCCGCCCCCGTATCCGCCGGCTCTGCCGCGGCCTCCAGAGGAGCCACCTCCGTATCCACTGTTTCCTCCAGAGGAGCCACCTCCGTATCCACCGTTTCCTCCAGAAGGATCCACCTCCGTATCCACCGTTTCCTCCAGAGGAGCCACCTCCGTACCCACCGCCTCCGCCGCCGCCTCCAGAGGAGCCGCCTCCGTAACCACCTCCTCCTCCGCCACCTCCGTACCCACCGCCTCCGCCGCCGCCTCCAGAGGAGCCGCCTCCGTAACCACCTCCTCCTCCGCCACCTCCGTACCCACTGCCTCCGCCGCCGCCTCCAGAGGAGCCGCCTCCGTAACCACCTCCGCCGCCGCCTCCTCCGTACCCGCCGCTGCTGCCAGCGCTCTGCAGCGTCACCTTGCGGCCGTACTCGTCCTTGACATAGCCGATGACGATGCCTGACCCACCGCCATAGCCTCCGGGGGCGGCCATCACGGCCGTAGGCCGCCACGCACACGAGCAGCGCCACTCTCTGAAGAGAGAAGGCAGGCACGGTGACAGACACGACCGCAGTATGGGTGGAGGTGTACCACAGGTGGTGGCAGGCTCAGCGGAAAGTTGGGGACGGCGGCTTGGATCGGTGACGTCACAAACACTGTTGCACGCTGGCGCAGGCTGTTGTGTGGAATCGTTCGCTTTGCAAGTGGATCGGCCATGACCTCAACCGTAGGCAAGGGCAGTCTTACAACAACGGGTGCAGCGGCTGGAGAGCTAAACACCGTCAAATTGTAGGGTATGGTAACGAGTGGTGCAGAAATATAACTCAAAGATATTTTCCTGAAGTGAAAAGGGTGAACATAGCACAACTATATCTCTTATTTTGTGCATTGTCTATGACATGCTGATGGTTGGCGTAGGTGGTGCGTTTTTGGTTCTTTTTTCGAATTATTTTTGTTTTTTTGTTGCAAATTTGTAGCCACCGTACACCTTCGGTTGAGACGGCACAAACCAACAGCAAGATTGTATGTAACCTCTAAAGTAGATATAAAGCTTCTCCGTGACAAAAACGCCGTTATGCCATTGACTCTGGGATTAACTCACCATTTGTTTCATGTCTGTCGGTGAAGTGACGACTGTGCAGTGTCCCGGCGCCGGTTTTGCTATTTATACCGGCCGCCGTCACCATTACGCGACGACCGCGGCCCTGAGTTTATGCCACTCGGGCACCGCAAAACTCGGCCAACTGTAGCTTGTCCAGGGTCAAGGGTGCGAGGCGTAGTGGAAGACAAAGGTGGCGATGCCGGGGTCCAGTGGTGCATTCAGTGGAAGCTCCCCTGGAAATTGCAATGAATACGAAGGAGGCTCCTCTGGATACATCGGTGGATACTTTGGGGCTCGTCTGGTAATGGTGATGGATGTGGAAAACGCTCTTCTGGAGATTGCTGTAATGTCCAGCATATGAATGATATTAGTAAGGAAGACAAGGTAGCCTGAAATATATAGCATGGAATTATACGCCTTCGAAAAATAAAGATACAGCCATCATTTGCTAAGCTCCAGTCACCGTCCAGGAGTCCCGAGGGCGCCTGCCGCACAGACCCTGATTCAAAACGGCGCATGAGTTCCGAAGCGAATTGGACACAATCTGTCAAGATATGACAGCCAAGCAAGCTGAAGGAGGGACTCTTCCAAAGCGCTGCTATCCTGACATACGTTGTCATCTCCTATCGTGTCAGACGAAACTCCGGTGCTCCAGTTGCCCTCCAAGCATTGACTGCCATGTCCGGGGACATACCGAACGGCGACCAAGTGAATACAGCCTCTCAGGTGCCTTCGATTTCTAGCCGTGAAGCGCGACCTGGGATGACGGAGAAACATGAACACGAGGCAAGTGTGGCAGAGGCAACAGGTCACCGGCGGCAGTTTGGTGTCATTAATTCGTAGTGCCAGTCAGATACGACCCACCGCAGTCTCATGGTGGCTAACCTGTTACGTATGCCATACCTCGGCCATGGTTCATCTGCAGTGTGTGGCACCTGGAGAGAAAACAACTTCACAGCATGCGAACAACATCTCTTGATGGTTGTATGGAAGCTGCCTGACAGCCGAAAAGCCCGATTCCTAGTCCGTTCAACCGAAGTATTCCCATGTGGTTCCACTCCAGACTGCGAAGGACTTAACCCGTGGGTGGCGATTCAGCCGGCAGCTGATTGGACCGCAGTCTAGTGTGACCAACAGTTTGGCGTAATTTGGTGAATTTTCATCATTAGTAGATCACGTACAGTGAGCCGTGGTGCATGCTCTGAAACCTAATGCTCAGTAAGTCGACTTCAAACTAGGAAGATCTCTTCCATTAACAGGAACTAGGCCAAGGTGTCTTGCACGACACCCATGCATTGTCACTGGTCCGCCTCTGCCCACGGCCAGGTGCTTCAGGCGATAAGCCGGTCGTTCTGCCTGTAGCCACAAGGGGAGAATCACATCTACGGAAACAATAATTCACAGGAACAGGGGGAATGTGATCACAGGTCGTCCCGGAGTGTGCACAGCGGGTCCACCGGAGCCGACCGATGCACCCATCGGCGCATCGCGGCGTTTAGGGGCGCCAGCGAGCCTCCGGGGACGCGGGTAGAGCTGCCCGACACAGCCGTATGGAACGATCGAACGACCACCCGGGAGACAGGCACGACGCGGGCCCCCTAACGCGGAAGGCCGGAACCGGCCAGCGGGCATCCTGTCCCTGTGTTCCGCACCACCTCCCGACCGTACAGGACCGGCCACCCATTCATTCATATCCCTGTCCCCCCCCCCCCCCCCCCACCTACCGATCGCCCAATCCAGACTAACCCAGTCATGTCTGGCTAACGGAAATGACCACCCCCGCAGCCGACACCCGCCAGCACTGACTCCACCGCCGCCTCAGCGCCGCCCCCCCCCCCCCCCCCACCCCCGCCGCCGCCACCTGTATTGTGGCTTCTGTATTGTTCAGGAGCCCACAATGCCCAACAGGAAACTGTGGTCATTCTGTATTAACAAGGGGCCTCACATCGATCAGGAGAAAATGTGTTCAACGAAGACGGGAACAAAAGCCCGAATGGCAGAGGGTCTCTTGTGTTGCCCGGGCCCTCTAACCACTAAAATAAACATACAAACTGATGATGAGTGTTCACATTGAGGTAATAGAAGGTTTCTGTGCCAGCCAGGGCCCCCGCACCGAATGGTGGGCCTACAACCTTATTCCAGCATGGGTCCGTTCAGCCCAACTGGAGTTTATGTGCCAATTATTTGACTACCTGCGGCGAGCAGGAATGTGGTTGCGTTCATGACGGTTCATGCGTCGATCCGGGACCAAGTGCGCGGATCAAAAGGCCTCACGCGTGACGGAGTGTATCGTGATGGTACTGGCGTGCGCCTGAGGCCGCCCCTGCTCGCGCCGCCAGTGCTGCTGCACCTTGGTGCGCCGCTGACCCGACCGGCGGTGTACTGCCTGGGGCGCCGCCCGCCGGGGTCGGCGCCGCATGCTCGCCTCGCGGGTTAATACAGTTGCCGTCTCGCAGCGCTCGTGTCTGGTCTCGGCAGTAACACGTAACACTTGAAAACGTAACACTTGAACACGTAAGACTTGAATATGGCGCAGCCGCATTGAACCTAGAGTAAGCTTAAGCAAGCGTGAGCAGCACATTAATTTAAGCAGTGTGAGTTGTGAAGCAAGTCAAGACGCCTGGATTTCATCCTCCTGAAGAATTCGACTTTACATCGCCTGAGAGGTGGCCGACCTGGCGTGATCGGTTTGCCCGCTACAGACTGGCATCGGGACTACACAAAGAGGACGGTGACGTTCAAGTAGCTGCGTTGATTTACAGTATGGGTCCGCAGCCTGAGCATATCGTGCCAACATTAAAGCTCACTGCTGAGCAGAATGAGGATTTTGAAGTTGCTGTCTCAAAGCTAGACGGATACTTCATTCCGAAAAGGAACTTTATTGCAGAGCGTCACAACTTCGAGCTTAGATCTCAAAGCTGGAGCGAGACTAATGAATCGTCCATCAGAGCTTTGTTCTCTAGCTGAGCACTGCAACTTCGCTCACGCTGATGAGCGTATCAGAGATCGTCTCATCTCAGGAATGTCTGACAGGAAGCTGTCCCGTATAATTCAGCTGAAGTCACTAGAGGAGGAAGTGTCTGTAAATACCGTCATTTCGATGATGCGTAATGTCGAGATCGTGAAAGGCCGTGACAGCTCTGGTCCGCCTGAAACCAGTAGGGTTTGTGCACCGGCGCAGCACAGGCAGCCGCGCCAGCAGCACCACCCACGACAGCAGCAGCACCAGCAGTACAGACGTCAACAGAAGCCTTCCACCGCGCACCGGCAACAGCATAGTCAGCGTGCCGACTTTTCAACAGCATGCAGATACTGTGGAAGAGCACGGCATGTGTCTCCGAAAGATTGTCCCGCTAAGGGAACAATCTGTGACAACTGTCAGAAAATGGATCATTTTACATCTGTTTGTCGCTCCAGCGGTGTCAGAGCGATTGACCGGACAGAGTCCATTGACCAACTATCGCCGCCCAACATTTTTGTTGGCGAAGTAGACAAAGCTTGCGCGCCTAGGAGAGTTACAGTCCTTCTAAATGGTCAACGGGTCGCTTTCAAAGTTGACTGGCGCTGATGTTAGCATTCTGACGCTGAAAACGTGCAAGAAGCTGCAACTGCCGCCGCTTCAACATGCTTCAAATACTCTGACAAGTGTTGGTAGCGTGCTAAAAGTAGAAGGAAAGATGCACGGAGCACTCATGTTCAAGAACAGAGCAGAGCCTGAAGTGTTCTACGTTGTTGACTCAGCTGATGATCTCCTCTCCAGGTCTGCTTGCTCGCGCCTGGGCGTGCTGAAGTTCACAGGTGAAGTCAACGAAGACGTCTTCGGAGAGGCAGGTCTCCTAGAGACAGCTCCGGTCAGCATTCAGCTCTGTGAAGATGCTGTTCCAGTCGCCCTTGCCATTGCAAGAAACATCCCGCTGCCACTGATGAAGCCGGTGGAAGAGGAGCTGAAGAAGATGGAGCATCACGGCATCATCACGTCAGAGACCGAGCCAACGGACTGGGTCTCTGCGCTGGTCCCCGTCCCTAAGCCGAAGAGCAGCGGTGTCCGCATCACGGTTGACTACAAAAGACTCAATCAGTCTGTGAAGCGATAGGTTTTCCCGATTCCTACTCTGGAGCAGCTGACCTCCAATCTGAGTGGCGCGACGCTCTTCACCAAGCTGGACGCCTTTTCCGGTTTCTACCAGATCCCGCTGGACGAGGCGAGCTCCAAAATGACCACATTCATCACTCCGTTCGGCAGGAAAAGGTTCCTGCGACTGCCGATGGGGATCTCGCTCGCACCGGAGTGCTTCCAGCGGAAGATGGAGGAGATGCTGGACGGATTGCCCGGAGTCATCGTCTACATGGACGACACCGTGGTGTTCGGAGACGCCGCCAGCCACGATGCA